GAATATCATAATGTATCATGATCCAAGGGTGGAGAGTGGTTAGAGATGAAAAATTCAGATTTTGAGAAGTTGGACCAAGTGGATTTCAAGTGTGACAAGCCCAACTTCAATGCATCATAACTTCCTGCTCACAAATCCTTTTGAGGAGTTCTTGCACTTTTTAGAAAGCCCTTGTGTAGCTCTACAACTTTCATGTTGTGGGAATTTCCAAATTCTTGATGGAACTAGGTTGAAAAACCCTTCAAAGTTCTGAAAAAGGTGGTTTATATGGCCAGAATTTAATGAAATTTCTCTAAGTGTTTTGTACTAGAAAAATGATTTTTCTATAACTCCAATTCTATGCATTTTTTGAATATGGACCACTGTGGGACTTTTGTAGGGTTTGTCAAGACCTTTCAAACAAGCTTAGAACCACCTCAATTGGATGTGTGGTTGAGGAGTTATGGTTTTGCCCCTTTCGAAACCCTAATTCCCGATTTTTGCAATTACTTCCTAACCCTTGATCCAATGGTCATGAAATTTTATAGGGAGGTGTAATATGATATAAGTAACATTTTTCATTCACACCTTGAAGTCAAATTCCTTATGGTTGAAGAGTTGACTTTTCGGTCAACCGTGCGATCGATTGGTGTCTACCGAGTCACCCGTTGGTGATCCGGACATCCCGAGGACTTGAAACTCTTTGGACGGACTTTACTAAGCCATGGGAGCTTAATGGACCTTGATACCATCATTGAAATACTCTTTGAATCAAAAGTCAAACTACAGTTGACTTTTTCCAGTCAAAAACCCTAATCGGGTGTCTCAAATTGCACTGTTCTCGAACCCCAGGTGACCACCTCAAATTGGATTCATACTTGACCCAATGTTGTATTCTTGATCTTGTTTGAAGTTGAATCAATCCAGAACATTGATTGATCGGGCCACTGAAGTCTCGATTTTGATGGTACGGAACCCTAATTCATCTGCATCTTGACAAAGATAAACTTGAACTGGATTAATGTTAGTTAATCAAATGAATATGATCCTACAATGATGATGAGGATCTAAGGGGTCAAAATTTGGGGTGCAACACATGCATGCATGCAATTTGCTAAATGTTACTCTTCTTCTTCAATATCATCTACCTCAACTACATTTCTTCATGGCAATCAATGTAAAATTTATTTTTTTCATCTACCTCATTACATATTTTTACTATAAATAAATGTTAGATTCATTGTAACATTCATTGCCTCTCCAAAAAATACATTCTTGTTATAATCACATTCTTTTTTGTGTAGAAAAATGTCTCTTTTAACCATGGGAGAAAAACATAGAGGAACACCAAACAACATAGTGTCTTATGTAAGTATAACGTTCCACTATGTTGTATGTAATGATTTTTATTTTAAGTTGTTGTAGCTTACTATTTTCGAACTCTCACAATATTCTATTATATGGTGTCTAACTATTTCTTTTTTTCATAGAACCCTCATGACTTTCAAACTCGTGCGCATAATTATTTCGCACATGACAAGTTAATTGAACCATATTTGGAACGCGCTAGATTTGGACACCTTATCAAAATCAAAAGTTATTCAGTGGATATGAAGTTTATTCTAGCTTTTCAAGAAAGATGGCGACCAGCGACACATATATTCAATCTTCTAATAGGTGAATGTACTGTAACTCTCGAAGACACTTACATGTTGTTGGGTTTACCAATTAATGGTAAGGTGGTAAATGGTCTCACCAATCTTAACGTTAATGTGTCCGAATTTAGGGGTCGCCACGACTCCTAGAAATTTGAGGGGTCAGAAACTATTAATATCATGACTCAAAAGAAATTATAAAGCAATAATATTAACCGAAGACTCTCCTAAAATCTTAAAAATAAGAAAAACTAGATTTTATATCATGCTACTAATAGGTTTATTTTTATGTCCGAATGCAAGTGGTAACGTTGTTCATCCTATGTATTTACCTTTATTAAATAATACAGATAAAATAAAAACATATAGTTGGGGGTCCGCCATGAATTGTACCTCTATAGGTCTTTGTGTAACAGTGCAACAACAAACTCTTCTACATTTACCGAATGTTTTGTTCTTCTTCAAGCTTGGGGTTGGTCAAGAATGACCAATCTAGCGCCTATCAACCATAATAATTACATATTTCCCTACGCAACAAGGTAATTTCTGCACCAATTCTTTGAAAACAAAATATTCTCTTATTTAATGTATACTATTAATAATAAATGTTTCCTTTTCGATTTGCAGGTGGTATGCACTTGGAATGAATTATGACAATTGTCCCCATCACAGCATCACCTAGTACCGAAATATTTTGGATCATTTGGGTCAAGATGATGTATCATCATTAATCTATCTATTTAAAATAGAGTCACCTTTAATACTAACATATTATTAACATATAATAAACATAATATTTTTCTACTACAGTTTATTTGGCAACCATATCTTGGGTTAGAAGTCATTCATGAAGTTAACCAACAACACTCTATGGCGTGGAGTGCAAATGTACCGATTATCAACTTCACTGTAGTCAAAATGCACAACAGTGATCGTGTGAAGCTTTAGTTTGGAATGCTACAGGATATTCTAGGTCCATCAAGAAGCATCGCCGAAAAATACCACACAAGTAAAGTCTCCGACCAATTGAACTACCTCGAATGGACCCACTATGCAAAAATTGAGTGTTGTGAGTGGAAGCATCGCCTCCATTTTATCTTGTTCCACACTGTGCTGCCATTCGACAGAAAACCATTTATCCAATACATGAATTGGTATAGATAAGTTGCCATTGGTTTCATTTCTCATCCAAGATATTTGGTTGACCCACGCCAATAAGCCTCATCGTCACATACCCAACATCCAACCTGGCCCCCAACCCAAAAGCCAACCCAACCCCACTCACACAACCACAACTCCATGATCATACCCCTTACCAATTCCCCTCATTACAACTGAGTTAACCTCATCTTCATGGGCCCAAATACGAGAGTTTTTAAAATCCGAGCCAACAATTCATCGTAGATCCTAACAATTCATCGTATTCCTCATCATTTTCCTCTGCAAAACCTTTTCTTTGAGTCTCTTTTTCCTATCTCCGAGTCACGAAACTCCTCTAGAATACCTTTAACTTCAAAGAATAGAGTTTAACCTAAAGAAACACATGGAAATGAAGCTGCTCATAAATGTAAGACAATTGAACTAGATCCTTCAACACCCCCACTAAGCATTTGGAAAAAGCAGAGACTTTTCATCAACCAAATCTACATCAAGCCATTTATATCTCCTAGAGAAAGAGTAAGTGGTAGGTACTGCATGTTTAAAAGGTTTAACACCACCAATGGAAACTACATCTTTAAATGTTTTTCCATTCGCAAGGCTTCCATGATTCGAACCCCTAGCATGGAATGGAGCTTGAAAGCCAAAACTAGAGCCAGGACAAGGATCATACGCATAACTGGAGTATGAAACAAGCTTAGTTTCAATATGGTTTCTTGCAAACTTGGCAAGATTGACCCTTAACTTGATGGATCCCATCCACACATTAGCTAGATCCGGCAAGAGCTTGCGCAATTTCACCAAATTTAAAATGTTTGGTTGGATGAACACCTCTTTCACCAACCCAAATAGTTAAAAACACATGTGAAAAGAACCAACAGAAGTGATGTTTGAAACATAATAAAAAAGGTTAACGGTTCAAAAGAATTACCTCTCATGGGATTACTCAAGAGCAAAAGAGGAGAGAATAAGATGCCAATAGAACAGCCAAGAAGAAAGAAACACAAAACAAACTGGAAAATGCAACAAAAATGATGTAGTGTGAGTTGCTGCACTCATATACTCCATTAAAAAAAAAGAATGGAGCTAGGCGTGACAGAGTTAACGGTTTGAGCCAAAAAAACAAGGATTTATGAAAGAAGAGTGAAAGAATGTGATGAACTTTTCAAAATATCTGGTAATATATCATGGTGCAACAGTTGAGGGTGAAGCAATGAGCATTCTAAATGGTGGGATATTCTTCTTAGAGCAAAAAACCATCATGAGAGACTAATCACATTCATCCAAAACATTAAGGTGATTAGGTGGTTAGTTCTCTCAATTATAAATGCTAACCACATTCCTATCTAATGTGAGACTATTATTCACACTACTCACCCTTGTAATTCTTTTTAAACAATATAAGTGAAGGGTGCCGAGAAATTAAAATAATCTTCAAAACATATAAATTTTTTATAAAATTTTTAGTAACATCTATAAAACTTTTTCACCTTTGTTGGCTTTAAATAAATAAATTTTTTAAAACAATTGTTAATAAATTGTGGTTGGGTCAAACTCAAGGGTGACGCAATAGCAAAAACTACAGAAGGTGATCTATCAGATCTTAAAAAAAACTCTTGATATCAGGTTAAGAAATGTGGTTGGGGATAACTCAACCCTACAAAATTAATTGATAGAGTGAAGATTGCTCACACTAATAAACACATGTTCAGATTATATATTATTCAATGTCCAACTCTTAAGAGATGTTTAAGTTAGGGTGAAACTGCAAGTACCAAATGAAAGGGTGTCATGTAAAAATCTCCATTATTAGATTGAGACAAATGTAGAATAAATCAAAATATACAACAAGCGCACAGTAGAACCATAAGATGGATTAATCAAACCCGATACGAATCAAACATCATCAACTACCTTTATTTTAGGCTGAGATAAGTCCAAATGATGCAGTTGTTTTACGCCATTGTTCTAAATATAGACAGCCAGTGAGTGTCTCACCGTTAACAGCTTCTGAGCACATGGTGAATGGAACCAGTGTTATTACTCGATAATAAGAAGATATTTCAGAACAATAAAACCAACTTAAACATTCATAAACCATCACGCAAAACAAGAAAGCAGAAACTACAACAAAAAAAAACAAAACTCCATGTCATTTTAAAATATTAAAATTCAAACTAAAAAATAACTAGTAAAATTAATCCTTCCTCAAGTATCTTTCTTGATGAAAACACTCGTCAAAACCGTCTTAGACTGAAGAGAAGCCTTAAGCAACTTGATTCCCTGTTAAACAAAATAAAATTAAACAGTTTAAAAACATAGAAGAATACATATTGTATTTAAGAAAATCAAAGTACACAAATTAAAACAAAAGAAATTTTTAAGCTGACAAAATTATACAAATAAAAGCCAAGAATAATAATGATATAGTTTACCTCATCCATCCCCATCTCAACAATCTTCTCCTGCAAGGTACCAACCTCTTTGACATTGAACTTGTTAAGCATAGTGATGCTGGATATTGTTGACATTGGTTGAATCACCAAATCATCCATTACCATGAATGTTATAACATCTTTCACAAAACCATTTTGACTCAAAGTGTTGTCATCAACCACCTTTTTCCCAACATAACGTGTGAGACTGTTCATAGGTCGCTTGCAGTTAGAACAAGGAGTTGTGCTATCACAAGTGACATCAAAAGTACAGTTACTTGGGCATTTGTAAAACAGAGTTCCTCCAGCTTCATGATTGTTGTTGGTATCATCATCATTCGCAGGAAGAAGGCCAGAGATTTCAGAAGGAGCTCTTGGATTCAAAAGAACTTCCTTAGTTTGCCCCATTTCCATGTAATTCTCGCTCATGTTTTCGACACTGTCATATAGATTTCCGATGCTACCAACCATGCCATTCTTGGTTAGTAGTTTTACGACTGTGCCAACAGGCAGACGAAGTAAGTTAAAAAGAAAATCAATGACATTTTTAGAAGCTTCGGCGAACAGAACTTTTTGATTTTTTGTGTCAATAAGAAGTTTGAGGGTCACTTTGGTTGTTGATGAAGAAGAAGATGCCGTTTTTTTAAGCTATAGTCGTATACTGCAAAATCTGACCAATATACTATGTTTATTTATAGGCAGAAAAAGTTGTACAATTAAAGAGATTAATTAACAAGAGCTTGGGAATATGCAAAGCCCTTATGGCATTGCATTCAAACCGTTACAGCTTACAGTAGCGGTTCAGTGCTCCATGCAAGACGGTGGTGGTGGAACGTACCCCGTGATTAAAATACACACACATTACACTACTTCTTCACCTATGGTTCTACTTTGAGTTTTGGATAATCCTAATTAAACGGCAATTATACTTTATTCATTTTACAATAAATATCACTTTACCTAGAAAAAAAATACATTTTTAAAACTAATATTATTTTCATTTTTTAATGAACAGTCAATTATTATATGGCCAGTTTGTTTTAGTTTTAAAAAAATAGATTTTTTTTAAGATTAATTTTGACATATTATATTATAAATATACATTATTAAATATCAAAACATGGTCAAATTTATAGTTTTTTTTTAAAATTATATCTCAAAAATAATTTTTATGAAAAATAATTTAAAATAGCTTTAAAATTAATTGATTTTTTGAAATTTTGATATCTAAATTTTTTTCGATATAATAATAAAATATATAAAATAACATTCTAAGAATATCTATTTAAACAAAATTTTTATAAAAAAAATTTTGTAAAATTTTTTTATACTAAAATATATTATATTATAAAAATCATTTTAAAAAAAAGGCAAAACAAATGGACTCATATTTTGATATGCAAAATCTATTTTTATTGAGTTAATAACATTTTTAGTTGTTGAATGAATTAGATATAAGAGAGACTACAAAAACAAGATCCTGCATTTGATTGAAAGAGTTCATTACTTTATATGAGAATGACTATGGTAGTTATTTATATAAGTTATGGGGTTACTAATTCTATAACTAACTCTCCTAATCAAACTTAACAAACTTTTTAAAAATAGTTATTTGCTTTTGATTATCTCTAATAATTCCCCGCGACCTTGATTGAGATAAACCATTTTGAATTTAGTCCTTGAAACAGAATAGTTGGCAAAGGCTTATTAAGTGCATCTATTTGTGTTGATTTAGGAACATTTGAATGTTAAGTTTGACAAAGTGAATATCAAGCTCAAGGTCAATATATTTGGTTTTAGCATGGACAATCTGGTATGAGACAACAAAGTTGCAGATAGATTGTCACGAAGTGGAGTTGAGGCAAGATAATTGATTCATATGCAGCTGATATAGCCATAACAATTCAGAGGTGCTGTGTGATAGAACCAAATACTTTGCTTAAATGCTTGAACATGCCACAAGTGATTATTTCTTTGAGCTCCAAGAAAATAGGCTAGGTCAAAAATTAATAAATGATCATGATTTTGATATTCAATCATCAAAATTAACAGTGCTACAAACTATATCTATTGTAATGTTATTATCTCTTATTCGAAGTAATAACAATCGTGGTGATATGTTAAGACTTACAAGTTTCGAATCTCGCAATAATATTTTCTTTTATTTTTTTATTCAACAAAAGGTGTGTCCATTAATTTATATATTTATATAAAAATTAAAAATAATTTCACCACGATTGTATTTGTCAACCGTGTATATGTCACCTAAAATTAATATGTTTCACTACGGTTGATATCTTCAACTGTGGTTAAATGTGTTTTTTTTTTAAATTAAAACACATCAGATTTAATTTATTCCCTTTAAAAGATAAGTGCCCTAGCGAAGAGCAGACGCAAGTGATAGTGAAACAGACTTTTAAACTTCATCATCTTATCATTCATTTCTTGCAACGTTTAAACTTTCTGTTCTTACAAGACGAAAGTGAGCGCACACAAAAGGGCGTTTATTGGTCATAGCCCCTTTTTCAATTGACGACATGTTCTCAATTTCATCACCTTTATCACTATTCATATCCAGTTTTAAATTTTGTGTTCTTAACTATTTGTTATATTCTTGTGAATAAAAATCGATAGCAAAACTATATTCCTATGTAGTGCATGTATGAACTTCTAGTATGTTATGTGAATGTAGATTGTATATATGTGTAGGCAGCATATAGCCACATTATAGTATATTGTGGTTCTGGGTTGGGCCAGTACCTGCCCCACAGTCGGGCAGGCCCAACCCAATACCATATTAGGGAGGCCCAGCAAGGCCCAATCCTCTATAATGTCGGGTACACCCAGTATTTTCTACAGTCGGGCAGACTACTACCTAGCACGGGGAGAGCTCACACGCCTTCTCCACGTTCTCCGCGTGCTCCCCACGCGGGGACACGTCATCAAGCAACTACCCGTGTCCTAAAGAACTGGTCTCCCACCTTCCGAAGATCACGGGGGAGTTAGATCAGGGTGAAGACCGTGTGTTAGTCTTCGCTATGCCACGTAGACCTTGACAGTTACTTGTGTTGGACCTGGCAATCCAGCCCAATGCAATGTAACCGTTGGCCTAGTGTTGGGGGCACATTATAAATACTCTCTTTCACTAGAGGGTCAGGTATTATAAACTCTACATCTTCTTTCTTATTTGCTCTCTCTTACTCTGTTTCTCATTTTAGCATCAGAGTACCTTGCAGGTACACCCCTTCCTCTTCTCCAACGCCGATGAACATAGGAGCTCACGACGCGTAGCAGACTGCTGATCCCTTTCTGATCCGGTAAGATCAGTGACACCAATTGTGGGGATGCTTTCTTCCCCGTTCTTTCTCCCATAGAAGCTCAAGAAGCAAAACAGTTTTCAACCTCCGTTTGATCATGACCAGCCCACGCTTTGACAATAATGCTCCAGAAACCTCCTTCACTTCGTTCACCAACAGTGACGGTCACGACCCCAACGTGACGATTGACGTCGAAGAGGGCGACCCCAAGGACGGGTACACCGCCTCTCCCTCATACGACAACGCAGCCTACAACCCTGCCCGACGCTTCAACAACTCAACTGTCTTCCAGCCAATTTGTATGCCCACCAACGCCGACCCGACCATGTTGTCCCTGTTCACAGCGATCATTCAGACAAATATGCTGATTTTCCAACAGAATGAGCGAATAAGGATACTCGAGAAGGAGCGACAATCATGCTCTCCCCCGCGGAGAAATCGTCGCCCCGTCTCTCGATGGCAACATTGTAAACCAAGTGAAAGCGTTTTTAGTGAGCGAACTTGGGAAATACTTCACTCTTAGGTTTTCATTGTTAGCAATTTTTCCAGCCTCTATCAAATATCTTGCCACATGTTTTATTGTGGACTCACTAGTATCCCCAGAAAACTTAGTGGAATTTTGAACTTTCCATCTAGGGGGTAAATCTGACTATAAGATATATTCAGATAAAGGTGATGTATAATTTGACATTTGAAGGCCAATATTTACCCCATTTCTGGCCATAATCCTTTCGACCATGGATGATAGGTTATTATCCGCTGCAACATCTTCGTGTCTGTTAGCTCCTAATTTCGACGCCTCGTTTAGAAGAAAGGAATTTAAGATAAAAGGCCAAGGATAAGTTGAAAACGAAAGATTGTTCAAAAAGATGTAAGACAACTAAAAGAAGGAGTCGAAGAACTCACCCAGAAGCTAGGAGTTCGACCGCTTGCTGTTGTGGATGGTTCGTCGAAGGGTTTGAAATTCAAAAGTTGGAGGGAACGGTTTTGTTTGTCGAACACTTAAGAAGACACGTGGCACCTTATGAGCAGTAGAATCCATGCATTGTGACAAGTGGCGTGAGGAGGTGATGTTGGAGGTTATTAGAAGTTATGTTTTACTACTATAAATAGGATGTCTTAGACATAAGCAAATGATGTTGTAATTTACCTTTGTACAAATTACTCTTAGAATTACTCCAAGTATCCGAGCATAGAGAAAGCGAGTATTATAGAGAATGTACGTGATGTAAACACACCATCTTTTACCTTAATGAAATTTACTTTATTTTGCTTTAAACTTTACAAAGTCTTTTATTGTCTTTGCACCTTCTTTCCTTACTTTCTTCTTTTCTCCTTTTTTTTCCTATGCAATTCCTTTCTCTTCGCCCTCAATCTAATTTCCCCTCTCTAAACAAACTTTCTTCTTTCTTTTATTGAAAGCTTTATTTTATCTTTTAACTTGTCCCGTAGTCGAATAGATGTTTCTTTAAGACTCTTTCATCCCAATACTGTTTAAGTGTGAAACTTAGATAGATTTTCAAAGTAAAGAACCTTTTAGCACATGTCCTAGGATCAATCTTATCGATCCTGTGAGTCACCAAAGTTAGATTTGGAAGGTCAGCAGTTGTTTTCCGATTTTCAAGGGGAACAGTGTCGAACTTGGTTTATTACTTCATTAGCGTTCTGATTTCTATTTACCACTACTAACCTGGGTTCCCTCTAGATTGGCTGTTCGAATCTATGAGGTTCGACCCTGGGTGGTTCAACTATTGCCCCCTAGTTTAAAATGTTCTCCTCAGGTATATTTGGTTGAACTTGGTTAATTGCAGGATCTTCTTCTAAGACCGCCCCAGTATTTTGTACCATCCATTCCCTCTGGGGATGTCGAGGGGTTGTGGGAGACCAAAGAAGTCAGCAATTCGCGTCGTTTGTGCTGCTAACTGTTGGTTGGTTTGGGTAGTATTACGAATTAAAGGATTGAATATAACCACCATCTGTTGGGCAAGCATCTGGACCATTTCATGGTTACTTTCGTCCATCTGTTATCTTATCGATGCTGCAGAATTATTGGTAATGTTTGGCATCTGGGTAGGAAATCCAGTTCCCAATGGTTGGCTAATTCGATCCATATTATTTATTCCTGAACCAGATCCTTTTAGTGGCGAAGTCACA